AATAACATGGACGCTGCATCGATCCACTGCTGTCACGCAAACAGTGCACACACACACACACACACACACACACACACACACACACACACACACAGCTTCAAACGCTGCCTAACAAGGCAACACACACGCACACATACTCAAATAGAAACAGCACACATTGATACACACGGACACGCACAGTGACACATGGCGAGCTCTGTTTACGCAGTGGAGTGGACGGCGCTCCGAGAAGCGACAGAAAGCTTTTACGGCATCGTGTTTCCTGGAAGGGTTCGGCTCTGATAAGCTCTGGGATGGTTGTAATGGAGCGAGATGGGGCCCTGCCCCGGGCAGACCACCTTAATGTGAGCCAATCAGGGCTTCGTATTTCTGTCGACAGGCTGTAAGAACACAGAGCCACGTTCTCTTCCTTCTGACTCCTTCTCTCTCTGTTTCTTTATAATGTGAATGGGATATGAGGGCAGGATGTGGGCAGGAAAGTGTAAACGTTTAAAGCTCCAGTGTGTAACACTGAGGAGGATCTATTGGCAGAATGGGAATAAAATTTCAAAGGTATTTTTCTTATGTATATCGCCTGAATATAAGAATTGATGTGTTTTTGTTACCTTAGAATAAGCCACAATCCAAACACTGACTCTACATCATTTTGTTTTTGCAGCCAAAATTGTTTGTCTTTCACACTTAGAATGTGAGGGACAACTCTGTAATGAGTTATTTTAACTCAAAAATCTTTTTGAAATGGATTACATTAAAAATTTTAAGTAGCACAAACTCAATTTTGTAAACTAAAGAAACATTCCTGATAAAGTGCTTTTCACAAAATATGATATATATATAATAATATATAAAGGACAAAGACCTGCAGTCCTCTGGAGCAGATGAGGCAAAACTGTGGAAAACAACTTCAGTAACTCATCCTGCTGGAATCAATTCTTCTGCTCATTTATCTTTACGAAGAAACGTTTATGACTTTGAGCTTCGCTTTAGGTTCAGAAAAATCCTGTTCCTGAAAAGCCTCATTGTGTAGAACAGCAGCAACCTCTGAGAGGATCATCTAAACGCCTGAAATGTGAATATGAAAGAGACATTCTTGGGGGCAATTATGCATCTCAAGTCTTTAAAGAAACAGATCTTTACTGTTTTGGAATAATCCCCTTATGGTTCGGTGCAAAAGCACAGATTATGAATATGATTTAACTTCAGACGCTGACATTAAATTGGACCTTTCATTGCTGCCTTTTAAACCGAAAACCCACCACAGGCGACAATAAACACAGGGCGAGGGAACAAAGTGTTTTCTGGTGAACCTTTAACGCAATCCGAACGAGATATGAAGATAGAGGTTGTCAGCGAGCCGCTGGAGGGCTTCGGCTCTCGGCTAATATCAAGCTGTGCTAATGACTTTCAAAGCTAATCCGACACTGAGTCCACTGGCTCTCAGCTGCCCAAACCAGAGACCATGTCCAGTGGAGCAAACGCACACTACAGCCCCTGCTAACTGCCCACACTGCAAGAAATGTCAGTGACTGAAGGAAAACACACACAAGATGGGTTTTGCTTTAAATATTGATTAAATATCGTATTTCAGGAGGTTCTCTTTTTCAGATATTTCTTGAAAATTATTGTGAGGAAAATTCTCAGTTCCAGAGTTTAAAAGAGCTTCATTATCATCAAGAGATAATATAATTACCAAATATAAACCTAAATCAGGGTTCCCATGCAAAGTTTAGAGACTAGTTTTTAGCCTGGAAAGTGATTAGAATGAACTTTTTTTGGGTCATATTTGCTGAAACTTTCAC